AAGCAGCCCAGCCTGCCTGATGTCACCGCAGCAGAACAGAGGCCCCGAGGCCAGTGCTCTTTCCACAACAGCACAACAGAGTGTGCCTGGCAGAAGAGCTCTAGGAAATTTCACAGATTCAGCGTATTTTCCCCATTATCCGTCCATGGAATTTGTTACCTGGTCCTGTTTCTCAGAGGTCTCTGTGCTGCTCACTTATCTAAAACGAGCACGCAGGGTGCGACTCATTTTTCTGTGGCTCCAAGAACATTGTTAAGTTAATCATTAGGGCTCCTGGGTACCCAAGAGCTCACTTAGTAGTTTTATGTTGGTCTCTAGAAATAAAAAATAGCAACACGGGTAGATGAGTTGTTGAAGCCAAACAGAGAATCTGGAGCCTGCCACCCTAAACCCTTCACCAAACTATGAGTCTGCACAGTAGCTTCTGGAAACCCCAAGCGCCACCAACACGAGCTCATCAAGAGACCCAGACCCTGGGGTGAGCTGGCAGGATCCACCTGAGGAACGGGAGAGAGAAGGAAGGAGAACGTGAGAGACGGCCGGGCCTGTGGAGCCCCATATGCTTATCACGTCAGCTCCCACATTACAGCTCAGTGGAATCGGATGGAAACAGCAATCGATCGATCAATTGATCGATCGATTTTAAAACCACTCTGTTGGCACTCTGAAACAACAATTCATCCAAAGTATAAGGAAGCCAAATGCTTCCAATTCTCCCTTTGAAAGTGTGTCAGTTTAGGGGGGCCTGGGTGGCTCAGTCGGTTGAGCATCGGACTTCGGCTCAGGTCATGACCTCACAGTTGGTGGGTTCGAGCCCCGCGTCGGGATCTGTGCTGACAGCTCAGAGCCTGGAGCTGCTTCAGATTCTATGTCTCCTTCTCTCTCTCTGACCCTCCCCCGCTCATGCTCTGTCTCTCTCACACACAAAAATAAACAACAAAAATTTGAAATTGCGTCAGTTTGAGAAAATAAGCAATTCTGAGACAGATGTAATGATTTCTCAAGAATTTTGCTAATGACACTGAGATTTCAGCTGTAACGCCTTGTACCCTAATGGAAGACAAGACCGTCCCCTCTTACAGCCAAGAAGAAATCAGAGCTGCAGGGGGCCTGTGTGGTGCGGGCAGCACCCACCCTGCTCTCCCCCACCCATTCTGGTTCCCGTGGGACCTCTTCACAGTTCTTCCAGCCCTCGCCATCTTTCCTTCAAAACAAAAAGAAAAGCCACCCACGAGGTGAAGAGGAAGAATGGGACTCACACCTGCCACCAGGAAGCAAGGCGGCTGGGAATGGGGGGGCAGGGGGGGCCTGCACTTCACCCCCTGCGGCTCGGGAGTGGGGCTGGGGGAGGGGCAGGCGGGGGAGGAGGGGGCTCTTCTGGGACAGCGCCGCGCGGGGCGCGGGCCCAGCAGTGAACAGACACCACCAGCCACCGCTGGGACTTGGCGAGGCGGTCTCCCAGGGAGAAGCACGGCGGCGCTGGCCCGGCCGGCGCAGGTATTTTCAAGGGAGCGACTAGGCGACAGAGCAAATAAAAGGTCACTGAGATTTACTTAAAAAGAAATCTTAAGCAGGTTTCCTAATCCAGTTTCTCCCAGCGCTTTTTGGGGAGAGTCAAGATGCAATCCGCTCTGTGAAAATGTTAAGTGGACGAAGTACCCAGAGCCCCGGTCTAGAAGCACTGAGTTCAGTACCAGAGGCCTGCCGCCCCCGGGGCAGGAACAGAGCGGCGGCTGCGCCCCCTTAAACGTTTAAGGCCACGAGGTCGGCCGCTAAAGGTCCTGTTCACTTTGCACACACTTGTCTCATTAAGTCTCACAGGCAATGACTCCCATTTTACAGATGAGAGAACTGAGGCTCAGCGAGGTTAGGCAGAGGGCATGGGGACCGAGTGCAACTCCAAAGTCCCTGCTTCTCCCAGGTCGGCGTCACAGCGGACACGGGCACCGTGGCTGACGCACGTGGGGCTGCTTCTGTATTTGGGTTAAGTGATGTCAACTGGCCAATAATCAACCATTTCTGACTCAGCGGCTTAAGAATTTAATGTGCTTCAACCTCGCAGGGCAGCTGGCGCCCCCCGCCCCCCTCCATGTGGCCTCCAGGCTGTGGGGGCGGCCTGCTCAGCAGCCCGGAGCGACGGGACCGGACTGCGACGGTCACGGCGCACACGGCCAGAAGCAGCACGCCACCCTCTCTCTCCTTAATCTCACTTCCCTTCTGTAACCGAGTCCTTTCTCTGCGACATTGTGTTCGGCTTACCAGCCGCCCCAACGTTACAGACAGACAGACCCAAACGCCCCGCACAATCGCCGCCGCCTGACTGGGCGACGTGCGCACAGGTGCTTGGACGAGGTCTGGTCACCAGGTGCTCAGGGTCGGGGTCAGTCAGGCCGGTCAGGGTCCTGCCTGCAGCGCGGCTAATACAGCATCAGTGAGCCTGGAGCCCGTGAGCGCCGTGCTGAGCCTTTCACACTCGGCAGCTTCCTGGGACTGAAGCACGCGGGTTTCGTGAGCACGCAGCTGCACGGACTGGAGCCGGGAGCCACTGCATTGAAGCTGAAAGACGGCGAGGCACCCTCCATGGCACCCTGCGCAACAGCCTGTCGGGAGCACCAACTCCTGAGCTCTGCTCTGACGGGTGCTGGGAGGAGGTCCCGCCGGGGTCCCCTCGGAGCGCTGCGATGGCCCCGGGACGCGCCTCCGGGCACCCAGTGCTCTGCCCACCTGGCCTCCCGGCTCCAAGGCCACTGTCATTTTCAAAGGAGCGTCCCATCCCCTGGGAAGGGGAGGGGAAAGGGGGCTCGGCCTGGGCTCTCCTGGCAAGGTGGTGGAGGAGGGGATGAGGGAGAAAGAAATCACGAAGACCAAGAACCCAGGCAGCAGGGAAGGGAAGGGGGATCCGAGGAAGCACTTTCCTAGGACTCTAGCCAAAGAACGGGAACGCATATTTCCACGATGAGACGCCAGCCATGCTCCGGGGAAGCGGCTCGTCAGGTCAGGTCAGCCCGGCTGCTGAGGACACTGAATATAGGGACTAAGAACATGTCTTTTAGGAAGGGGGCAGAGGAAGTGGGAGGGAGGCGGGGAAAGAGGGAAGAACTGAGCACCTCGACCAGATTTTCTAGGCAAGGTCACTGGCAAGTCCCCTGCTTAAAAAGGTCTGCACTTTGGACTTTTGTTTTTGAGAATGAAATCACCCTTTCTGCAAAGAACACGAAGAAAACGTTTACTTTTATTAGAGGCCGATTCTCCACAGTTTAGAGACAAGGGGCACTTCCTAAAATCCAGGAAATTAAATGCTTGACTTTGTAGTCACCTTTGGCTTTCGGTAGAAGAATTATTATAAAGTAGCATCGTAATCAAAGAACAGCTTTTCAATGGCTAAAATCTAAAAGAAAAATAAGGGGCTACACAAATTAACACGACACTTGCTAACACTGCAGAAAAATTCTAACGGAAGAGGCCACGCCATGGTCTCCTGTCACAAAAGCCAGCGTCTAACCTGTTAAGACCCGACGTCTCTCTGTGATCCTATGTCTCTGTGTTCCTACGTCTCTCTCTCTCTCTCTCTCTCTGTGTGTGTGTGTGTGTGTGTGTGTGTGTGTGTGTTCCTACGTCTCTCTGTGCACACCAGAATTTCTGTGTCAACCTTTCCGTTCACCCACTGATTTGGGGAATCAGGTGCTGGAAACTGTGGATTATTAAGCAGGTTAACGTTGTTTTATATACTTACATGTTTGGGTTTTGCCCCCACTTCCCAAGTCCCCTAGATCTAGATTTATCTGGTCTACGGTCTTCTTAGCGCAAACGACTATCTGACTTGGGGCTGACAGACAGTGCCTCCCCCCCAGCCCCCCGTTCTGAAGATCTTCTTCTGAGTCCTTCACACCCCAAGGAGGTGGACGTGACAAGCTTGCAGCAAACAGCCTCACTTGACCAAGGCTGCTCAGTGCCACGCCGATGGCCTCAAGACTGTCACCTAATACAGCTGTTACTAAACATTTGCCAGGGAAAACGAGAGGAGACACGTCATCGCCGCCCTCCAGTGGCGGCCTCAAGGTCGTTTATAATGCAGGAACCCGGAAACTGTGCAACATTTCCTGTCTCTGGGTCCTCCCAACAATGAATCTGAGAAGAGCCAGGGAGCACGGTCGGGTTTGTGGTCACCCTCCCGTCTGTCTTCCTGACAGCGTCAGGCACGCGGGCCACGGGCCCCCCACGGTGCAGTGACTGGTGTGCACGCGCACAGCTGCGCAAAGCACCCAGATCACAGCAGCGCACTCGGGCGGCCCATTCTTCTTCTAAGATGACCTCTCCTTGCTAATCCAAGTTCGCGGAGCTAAAGGAGACCGTGAAACCACAAAGCGGGTCTAGAGAGCCAAGGAGTGAAGACTCCTACCAAACAAGCAGGTACAAACACTGTAAGTGAGAAGACAGTGTGCCGTCGTTCAAGGTCAAGTCAAGCTAAGCCAACGGCAGGTGGGAGAATGGACTCGTGAAGCCATGACTCCTTCTCCCTCTGAGTAACTGGCCATTTCAGAGCTTCTCATCGTCCCTAAAAATAACAAGTCTTTCAAAACAGGAGCTGAAGTGGGTTTTTTTAAAGGATGTATCTGAGTCACAGTCCCCTCAAGAAAGTGAAAACTGCGCCTGAGCTGAAAAGGCCCTGAAAAGACCCCTCTAACTAACCCACTGGGCGGTGAGGGAAGCCATGGCCTCACTGGGCATCATGCAGCTGGGGGAGGTGCAGGCTTGGGGGCTGGGGGGACCAGGCTCTTCACCCTCCCTGCAGAGCTGGGAAGACCCGTGCAAGCCCCGGAGCCGTGTCTGCAATGCGGGTGTGGGAGGCCTGGCTACGACACTGGGCGGGTCCGCATGTTCTACGCCGTGCTCAGCCTCACGCCGCATTACAGGCAATTTTCAGAAAAATGTTGTCTTGCATGAAAAAGCGACACCCGTTTTTCCTTGGGAAGAACAGAACGTATTCAGGTTCCCTTTACCTGGGGGGGCCACGCGGTCCTGGTACGTGGGCTGGAATTCGCTGATGGTGAGCAGCATCACTTGGATGGTTCCGATGAAGATACCAGCCAGGCAGCCATAAAATATCACGTAGAACAGAAGGATCTTAACTGCAAGGACACACAGAAACAGACAGTGTGACATAGTCAGTCACACACACAGAAGGAGAGGCTAACCTCGGCGATGAAGGGACTTCCTGCCTTCCCTCCAGCCCGTCTTCAGAGCCTCCTTTCTGACCCGGATCCGGACCATACTCCCCCCCACGGTGGGGTAAAAACAGAGAAGGCAGCCCTCCATTACTGTGTGTGTGTGTGTGTGTGTGTGCATGCATGCGTGTTGGGGGTAGGTAAGGGTAGGAGGAATGTTCTGCTAGAACGAAGATTATTTACAGGAAATACTTTTTCTGCCTAAATAAAAAACGGTGCCTGAAAAGATCACCCATAAAATCTAGGGCCGTGCGTGCAGCTTACACGTCTTCAGCCGTGACAATGCACTCCCTTAGGGACACAGGTTTTCTTTCCTTGTTTCTCCCTTGACATTTCGACACTCTAATCCAGGCTCTGCTGCTTCTCCAAACATTCGAACGCCTGCAAGTTTTTATGCTAGAACGGGGCAACGAATGCCGAGAAACCGCATGAAGCTCTTCTGCTCTTTTCGGTCTCCCCACCTCTGATGTATATTCTGGACTAAGCACTTGGTGTTTTCCTTCAGGGGCACCAAACGGGGGTGGGGGGAGGAAATCCTATAGTGTGAAAAATGGCAAGCATATTCTTATTCCATGTTCTGCCTGGACCCGGCATCCTGACTGGCTCAACGATCTGCATTTTCTTTTCCCCACAGCGGGCAGGACGGCGGGAGGCGGCTGAGCTGGCTGCAGAAGCAAAAACACAGAAAGCAAAAGAGCACGAAGCCCACAGGCGGGAATGAGGCTATCAGTTACTGGTTTAGAGGATTATCTCCCTGATTAGCCGCATAGTAACAGGCTGTACTAGGCATCGCCCGGCAGCCCCAGGCCGGCCAGCGGCTCCCCGAGAACCGGACTGGAAAGTGACCCGGGAGGTTATCAGGTCTGAACCGGGACGGCGTGGAGGAGCCTCAGGTTACTTCTAAAACCCTGCAGACCTCAGGCAGTGAACGCTGGGCTCCTCGGCGAGAGCACAGAACTAAGGGCATCACAGAAAAGCGGTGCAGTGGCCGTGGTGAGGGACGGAGGGCGAGAGGGAGCCCAATGTCGCGGGAGGTGGCCACGCTGCCCTTGACCTGCATTTCAAAGCGCGGCTTTCCAATCAGCAAGTACACGGTTCAGGAAAGCCATGTTAGTACAACAAGCCAAATGTACCTAAGACCACAATGCTTCATCGTAATCCTTTTTCTCCTCTATCAAAAAAGAAAAGAAAGAGTAAAAAAGGAAAAAGAGTCAGGCCACAAGTGAAAGGTAAGAAAGGCGGAAAGGCTGCCGTGGCCGCCCAGCTCGTCGCTGCTGCCGGCACGGCGAGGGTTAAGTGCTGCATTCCGTATCCAGGCAGCAGCAGGCAAACGGTAAGGCTGTGACGTCAAGGGGTCTGGAAAATTTTCCGCGAGCGCTCCTAAGAGGGCTGGAATGACACGGTCAGCAAGGAGCTGCCGCAGCCGCTTCTCCCGTGGCCCCCGCCGGGCCTCGGGGCTTGCAGCCTAACTGCACTTGGCTCTCCCAACGACTGGCGCGTTTTTATACCCATTCCTCCGACTCCAGACACCTCACTGCAACAACTTAAGAACGTATATAATTGTGGCCGCAATTGAAAATACAAACAAGGCCCTGGAAAAATCAGGCCTCTCGCAAGCACACTGATTCAGCTGACAAAGACAGAGCCTTTTAATTCTGTTCCATGCATACCCCGAGAGGTGAGGAATTTTTCACTTTTGCTCCAAGATGTTACTTAGCAAAATCTCCCCAGTTACAGCCGGGGGGTCACCTGGTTAGAGGAACGGGAGCGTCTAGCAGGGCTTATGGAGTGGGCTCACCAGCACACAGGTTACCTGGGCTGCCCAAAAAGTGAAGCTACACAAATTGTACCAATTGGCCAGGGCGATCCAGAGAGTGAGTTTTAGAGGCATTTTCCCCACTTAAGCAATGGGTCTTCTTAAAAAAAAAAAAAAAAAAAAAAAAAAATGTAACGTAAAGATTTCCCAGTTAGAAAACGAATGAGGACCCTTCAAAGGGTCCCAAGCAATGGAAAGAGGGCATCTGGACCCAGCCCAGCGGCAAACATAATAAAACCTACAAACGCCCGTATTAACTTAATAAAAAGGTGGGAACCGCAGGTGATTTGCATGCTGCCATTTCTGCAGCAGGTGACAGGCAAGGCCCCTGCGTCCATCTTGGTGAAAATCACCGAGAAGCAGAGTCGAGCCAAGGGCGACCAGCCAAGGTCCCAAGGGCACCCATGTCGGGCCCCTGCTGGGAAGGCAGCACTTTGTCCACAGGACACGGCAACTGCGGCCGCTTCCTCTGCTACGGGAGGGTCGTCGGTTCTCACATTGCCGAAGAAGAGACAAATGAGCGCAAACACACACTGAATTTTTAGTCCGGCACCTGCACCTTGGGAAACAGAAGCAACGTGGGGCAGGCACGCACCCCGGTCCCGGCGTCTGCATTTGCACCAGCGTCTGGGCACCTTGCTGGATGCGGCGTCAAGGCACCAGTACCAACAGGCACACGCGTGCGCGCCCGCTTTCCCTCACACACGGGAGGCGCTGCCCCATTACATGTCAGCTTAGAGAACAAGTCTGCCCATCCTGCCTTACCATCTAAAGCAAATATTATTCTGGAACCGGAATGAGGAAAGAAATCTATTTTACGAGAGGGGAAAACACCAGAGGGCAAATTTCACAATATGCCGGAGTCGCCGGCAGGCCCCGACCCCATGACGAGGTGGGGACACAAGAGCCGGGCAGGAGCCTCCAAATGGGGACGGGGCCCATTCCGCAGTGCACCCCCCACCCAGCCTCACTCAAGAATGGCTAGATCACCCTGGCTGGGAGCCGCTCGCCCCACCCACACCCTGAGTTCAGGTCTTCCCTTCCATGTTGAAAACCCAGTGAGCTATCTTCATGGCACAGAAACTATGGCAATAATCTCGCTGAAGAACACAGCCTCCTCCAAAATAAAATAAAATAAAATAAAAGATACAAGCTAAAAGCCATCATTTTAAAGACCTACATTTAACATGGCTCAAAATACCTATGCTGCTTCCTTGTACTATCTTGGAATGCGGTTTCACCTTGACTAACCTTGAAGTGTGATGCATTATTAACCCTTTACTTTTCGGTCGAGAGAGACCCATGACAGGCTGCAGGTTTTTTCTTCTTTGCAAAAATCATACATCTAGCTTCTCCCAATTCAAAATGTCAGCCAAGCACTATTTCCCTGACTCATTCTCCTGTGATGGCCACAGATCCTCCCAATCAGGAAGACCGCATCAGCCCCTTGCCAGCGCACCCTCAGTGGCTGCAGATGGTGCTGGTGGTGGTGGTGGTGGTGGTGGTGGTGGTGGTGATGGCGGTGATGATATTCGAGAAGGAGGGGGCAGTGATGCATGGGGGGGAGTTCCCTTCTCTCCCTTCTGCAGTCACGACTCTTACACCTTTGCATACAACTCTGCCCTTCAAAATGACCTTTAAAAAAATGTCACCCTTCCGGTGGAGGGAGGCAGAAAACAAGGTATCTAATTTTCAATGAGAAAAAAAAAAAAAGTCCATCCAGCCAAGCAACAGGCTGCCCCAAATCTTGTAAGGTGAGCTGAATGTGCCTTGATGCCATTTATTTCTTACACCAACCTTCCACCGTAACCAGCCCAAGCCACTGACTGCGTCTGTGACACGAAAACACCCAGACTTCACCAGGTTTCAGGGCTGCCTGGGCCACCTCCGGGCTGTAAGGACTCCAGGGGAGGTAAAGTCTGGGCACAGCTAAGAAACACTGCAGTGTGGACGGGTTCTGCCCCCGCCCCATGCCTTCGGAGGCACATATTTAGATTAGAAAAGTGCTGGAACACACGAGCTCGCCTGCATCCGATCCGATTACCATCGTGAGGTTCTCTCGCAACCTCAAATCTCAATTTTTAAGCCTTGAGCTAGGACTACAGGGACAGCCAGGTCTAGTCTCCCGGAGCCCGGCCATTCCCAAGGGGGGAGGGCTCGAGCGCAGCTCGGACACCCTGCGGGTCACCCAGAAAAGACCGTGGCGACCCAGACCCTCTGCCCGCGCGCCCGCCCCCGCCCCGCGCGCGTCCCGGGGGCTCCGCACCCGCCCCGGGAGACCAGCCCGGGCCCCGCGCGCGTCCCGGGGGCTCCGCACCCGCCCCGGGAGACCAGCCCGGGCCCCGCGGCCGGAGCGGTCCCGCCGCCGACGCCGCTCCGCCCTGGGCGCGCGGGACCCGCGGAGCCGTGTGCGGAGCCCCCGGGACGCGCCTCCCGGGCCGGGCGCGGCCCCGCGGCCGCGGCCCCGCACTTACACCAGCTGCCGCCGGTTCTGCCCAGAAACTCCTTCTTCTCCGAGTTCCAGATGAATTTCTTCCAGCTGCCCTCCTCCTTGGCTTTCCCGCGGGCCATGGCGGCGAGGGCGGCGCGCCCCGGCGTGCGCTCCCGCTGCGGTCGGCGGCCCGGCTCCGCGCTGCTGCTCCCGCCGCTGCCGCTGCGGCTCTCCGAGTGCCGGGCGCGCGCCGGGGCGGCAGAGGCAGCCGCGGGGGGCGGGGGGCGGCGGGGGCGGGGGGCGGGGCCGCGCAGGCGGGGCGGCTCCGGGCCCCGCACCTATGGGCGGGCGCACGACCGCTCGCGGGCTCCTTGCTCCGCCACGCGCTCCTCTCGCCCTTGGGGGCTCGGGGGCTCTGCGAAGCCGCAGCCGCCGCTCCCGCTGCCGCCGCGGCCGCGAGCTCGGCCCCCGCGTCCCGCGACCTCTGCAGACGCGGGCAGGGGGCGGGAGAAAGCCGGAGACGACGACGGACGGACGGACGGACGGACCGCGGGCCAGGCTGCGCGCGCCCGCCACGAGCCGAGAAATTGGCTACCGGCGCGAGCCCGGCCTTTACTATATACCGCGCCGAGGCGGCCCGGGGCCCCGCCCACTAGCGGCGCGGCCGGCCAATCGCGGGCGCCGGGGGCGGGGCCTGCGGCCCGAGGGGGCGGGCGCGGGGCCGGCACAAAGGAGACGCGGCGGCGCGGGGGGCGGGCCGGGGAGCCGGGCCGCGGGGGGCGGGGGGCCGCGGCGCGCGCAGGCGGCCTGGCTCAGCCCCCTCCGCTCGCGGTTGGACGCGGGCCCTGCTCTGCCGTAGCAGGGTGCGGGGACCCCCGCCCCGGCTGTCCCGACCCGCGGCGCGCCCCCGGCCTCCCTCCGCCGCGGTCCGCGCGGCGCAGGTCCCTGGGGGGCCGGGGGAGGTCACTCGGGGACGCCTGGGCCCCGGGCACCGGCTCCGCCCCGCCGCTCGGCGCCTGCACCTGCCGCCCCCGGCGCGCCCCGCGCCGCCGCGGCTGCAGTTCCGGCCGGTCCGTTTCCCTGCGGCCCGGCCCGGCCCCTCGGGCGGCAGCCCGCAGACGCGGGTTGCAGGGGGAGCAGGCCGGCCGCTCGCCCCCGTTGGTCTTCCTCGGAAACCAGTCGCGCTTCGCGGCGGCCTCACACCTGTCTAGACCCGGGAGACGGTGTCTGCACCCGGCCCAGCCCTGAGCCCGCGCCGCTGCCCAGCAGGTGGCCGGCGTCCTCGCCGACGGGCTTCCGGGCCCCTCGGGGGAGCTGACCGCTCGCTTCTGCTGCAGGGTCCCTGAGCCCCAGGGCATCCGGAGGACCCAGCACTGACGGCAGGGCGCGGGGCCGGGAAGCCGGACCCCTCGTGCCCTCCGTCTCCTCCGGGCCCCGGCCAGCCTCCCACGTCCCTCCGGAGGCAGTGACACAGCAGAAACCGGCAGGGGCCCTAACCCGTCCCGGGAAGGAGGCCCCCCGCCCCGCATCCCCGGGCGGGGACACCGGTCAGGGCCGCCCTTCGGTCTCAAGGTCAACCTTGCAGGTCGGAGGCTTGCTTGGGCTGCTACGAATGAGCTCTTCCCACGAGTCCTCCTTCAGGCCCACCTGCAAGACCTGCCGAAACCCGAACATCCCTGAAACTCGGAGAGCCCCCCCCCACCCCTCCGGCCCCAGAGGGACTGCCGCACGCGGGGCCGTGTCAAGGGCGCCCGTGAGAACAGGAGCCGCCCCTGCAGCGTTTACACTGGAGAAGCCCCAAGTCGTGGGGGGGCTGCGGAAAGACGCGACCCGGGACCGGGTCACCGGGAAGGGCGTGTGAGGGACGAAAGCCTGTGGGCCGAATCCGCAAGAAGGGACGAGTGAGGGGAAGGGGTCCTGGGAAGGGACGACGGGGTTAAGGGAGGGGTGACGCCCTGTGCACGCGCCTGCCCCCGCCCTACCCTCCTCCGCCGCGGGCCCCCCGCCTCCCCATCTCTTCCTCTGTCTTCTCGGCGGAAGCTTTTGGTACAACAGGCTGTGGAGCAAGGCTCACAGCGGCAGGGTTTTCCCTCGAGCCCCCTTTCCTCTGGACCAGGAGGTGGCCCACCTCGGCCTCTAGGGCTGCGTCGGGCTCGGGACCTGCTGTGCCCCTCTGGGGGAGCCCCCTCTTCCAGCTTCAGCCGCCCGACGTCGCTCATGCGTCCTCGTCCGCGTGTGGCCCCCAGGCTCCGACAGGCCCGCAGCCCTGTGAGGCCCGCGCTCAGCCTCCACCCGCGCAGCCGCCCGGGCCGTCCAGACGCTCTGCCTTCCAACCCCGTCGCCGCCAAGGAGCGACCCGGTGCAGCCGTTCCCACCCGCGGCCGCAGGACGGGCTGGCCGGCTGACCTTGGGCCGGTCCTTTGTCCTCTCCCGCGCTTTCCCTTCCCTTGTCACCCTGGAGGGACACATTGTTGCAGGATTACATGGGAGACGTGGGGGGTGCTAAGCACGGTGCCTGGTGCACAGCAAACGCCACGAAGGGGGTAGCTTGATTGCAATTAGCTGGTTCCATTTGACCTTGTGTAACCTTGGAGCTGTGGCTCTGCCTTTGCCACCTTCCCACTGATACCCAGCTCCTGCCAGGACGCCGAGTTCTCGCAGAAGGTCACCTTGACTGACTCCCTACCCTCCACGCCACCTTTCCCCGTGCTTCCCTGCGTGCTTCCTGCTCGGCGACCTCCTCCAACTCAAGTAATGAATGACCTGAGCACGGGACGTCCCGCCGGGCCGGGCTTGCGTTCCCGGCCCCTTCCGTGCGGGGCCGTAGCGGCGGGCTGGAAGCGGAACCGAGCGGTTCCCGGGAGGGAGGGGTGCCTCTGGCAGGTGGCTGGGCAGGGGTGGGGGCGG